ACCCAAAACATTCAGAAACGAGGTCAATCTCTGTCTCAACGGTCAAGAAAATCGCCAAGTTTAAGAAAGCAAAGTCACTCCCCTTCTCTGTCCCCCCCCTGCCATATGGGAGCGTTCAAACTGTATCAGCATTCCTAAGCCAGCTCTGGGAGCCAGGCTGAATTATTCCTTTGTCTGGGGAACAAGGCACCAACACAAACTGAAAATACCGAAAATCTCTTTGTGGTGTGTGTAAAACTTGAGTTTTTTGATGCAGATCTCTTGCATGACTTCAGGAGTGCCAGGAATCTGTTACCTCTGTGCTGTATTTCTGTTTCCATGGGTGCAAGAACTGAATTTGTTCCTTTCTTTCTTATTTTTTTCCTCTGTAGAGGGCAGGCATTGAGGATTTAAGCTGTATATTAACCGTTCCTGTATCATTCCAATAAAATTGTTTTAGAAAGCTTTCTCACACCATCGGCCTGTTTGCATGTTTTGTTCATGGTTTGAAGTTTTAGGTTGGAAGAAGAAGAGTTTTCAGGTGAAAATCGTGCTTTTTAAAAGTTCAGGATTCATACAAGGTGAACATCACTAATCCACTGCTGCTGCGGGTGAATCTGCTGGCTTGGATCTCTCACCTGTTGCCACTAATGGGTTTTAATTACTAAGTGGGATTTAATTTCAGATACATCTCCCCAAAACTGTCTGTAAGGTTTGAGGTTTTTCCCTTATTAACTCATTTCCCGCTCGTTCCCCAAGGCGGGCACAAGTTGGAAGCAGCCGAGGCAGCAGCTGCATCCCAAGCCCAGAGAGCTCTCCCAACCCTCTCCCTGCTCTTTTACAAACCATAATTAATTAGCTTTATGCTGCTCACAGCAGGGAACTGTGGTATTTAATATTTGTGTTGCCACAGAGCAGTGCAGGAAGAATTTTAAACTAAAACTGTTATTTTTACCTTCCCTGTTTGCCCGGTACAGCAGCAGGTACCCCCTCGGCTTTGCACCACCTGGAAGATCTGCAGAGCTACAGGAATCCCACTCTCAGCTCTAAACAGCCCTGGGATTTGCCCAAATCCCAGACTTCAATTCACATCCTCTGGAGGAAGCCAATAACCTGATTTTTTAAGGAGTTTTGTGATTTTTACAGGATCAGCTTCTTTCTGTGCTAACAACAGCAGCCCAACCAGGAACTCTCAGTCAACACTGATGCCTTTTCAAGGTGATTATTGCTTGTCTCTCACACTTGCTCTTCTTTAGTGTCTTAAAAATGGTCCATAAGATGGGAAAAGGGCTTTGGATGCCATTTCTAAATTGCAATGAATCCCATTTCCTTCCCCTGTGTATCCACTTGTCTTGTACAACCCACAAAAGAAGAATAAAAATCACTGGTTTTCTTCTTTGTTTATGAAACATCTTAAAAACCCAATTGTTGCTCATTAATGTAAAGCTCAAGACAAATAGTTTTCCAGAATCTGTTTGGAAACCCAGCTCTGTGTGTGCATACAATGTGCCCTTCACTTGCTGTTCAGGTTCCAGTGGGGTGTGCTGCAATAATAAACTTTTCTACCAATTCCTGTGGGTTTTTATTAATTTCTCATATCCTCAGTCTCTATGCCATGGAAAGTTCTGGAATGTCTGATTATATCCCTCAGCTCATGTTGTACCCATTTCATGGAAGGGTTTGTGTTCTGCCTACTCTGTACCTACACATAATAATCCACTCCACAAATAAATCATATCTTTTATTGTTTTTTTTTTCCTGCAGAAGTACTCTGTGATTTATCCATATTACATGATCTTGGTAAAATGTTTTAGATTGAAAAGTTCGCTATGAAAATTTTGAAGTTTATCGTTAAAAATTTGGACTGAATGGGTAAACTTTTGGAAGTGCAAAAGGATTCTGAAAGTCCAAGTGATGAAGTAGAAATTGCTGTGTTACTACAAGAGGTGAGCACAGTGCTGCTGTGAGTACTGAGTATCCAAAATCCAGGTGTTTAGTACAAAATACATTTATTTAGTGTGTTGTATTCATGACGTATCAAAATTGGTCGTGTATATACTGTACTAGCAATATATATTAATTCCTTATATATGTTAATTATATATATAATATACTCACAATATAGCAATATATAGTGATTTCTTATATATGTTAATCATATATAATATATATACACACACAATATAGCAACATATAATATTTCTTTATGGTGATTCCTTCTCTCAGAAGTGGGCTTATTGAAGATATCATCAGGAACTTGGCGATGTCTTCATTTTAAGTCGCTTGGTGTTTCAAAATCCCTAAATAAAAGGAAACCGGCACATCATTAATACAACGTGAGCAGCACTAGAACTCCCAGTTCTGTTCTGAACCCTTTCCCCAGCACGCAGGGCAGGTTATTTTGTGTTTGTACAACCCGAAGTTATCAGGCACACGTTTTACAACCGGGAGCATCCCTGGAATCCATGAGTTTAATCCGTGCAATCCCTGCGCTCCAGGTCCTGCCCGGCCCCGCCGGGAGGGGCCGCAATGGCGCCCGCGGCCCCTCAGCGCCGCCGCCGCGCGCGGTTGCTGCGGCCACGACAGCCACTGCAGCGGCCGTGCCAGGCCTGTCCCCCTTCCCATTGGGGGAGGCCGCCGTCCGTCAGCGCGCGAGTTCCCGCCCCCCCAGGTACTTAAGCCTCGGGAGCCGCGCTGCTTGAGGGTGGTGTTACGTGAGGGTTAGTGGCGCTTCCGGAGGTCTCCATTGCAGCCGCCGCCTGTGCACCCCGGACCCTCCCCGTGCCCTCTGCTCGCTGCCGTGTGGGGAAAATGGGCGGTTTTCTCTTAATAAAGCTCTGCCCTGTGTCAGCAGCGCGGGGCTGAGCTCACCTGAGGGCGGGCAGGGGCTGCTCTGCGGAGGGTGCTGGAGGGCTCGGCTGGGCTGCCCAGGGGAAGTGCTGGCAGTTTAAATCCAAACTAAAGGACTTGGGGCAGCTGTGCTTGGAAAAAACAAACAAACAAAAAACAATTAAAACACTCAATGTCTATTTCATGTTTTTATGCATGTAAAATACACAGGCTGTGCTGAAAAACAGGACTTTGCTTACATGTTGTGTAATATAAGTGTGGTAACATACCATGCTGTAGTATTTATCTTGGGCGTCTGTATATATATATGTCTTTTTCATATATTCCACAGCTGATGAACGCTGTAGTAGTTTTTTTACCTCTGTATTGTAACATCCTTGCCTTGCTGTTTCTCCCAACTGTGCTCAGCTTCTGAAATAACTTTGGTTCTGATTTTATTTTTTTGTCAATAAAAGGGCATTTCTTTTTGATGGAATTGATAGAAATGCATTGATTTCCTTGGATATTGGTGCATTTAACCCCTGAATCTCAGAATACTTTGAGTTGGAAGGGACCTTTAAAGCCCATCTCATTCTACCCCCTGCCATGGCAGGGACACCTTCACTAGACCAGGTTGCTGACACTGCAACTGGAATGGGAGGTAATTTGGTTTTAATCACACAAGGTGAGTTATCTGACTTGGTTTCTTTGTCTCTGTTACTTTTGTGTTTTGTTGAAACAGCTGCACAAAAATTCCAGCTGCAGCTGGCACTCATTACAAGCTCAGCAAGGTTTTAAACTACTTGGAATTTGAACCACCCTGGTTCCTGCCCCCCAGGATTCTGAGCAGTGGCTCTGCTGAAGTCCCAACCATAGCTTCTGTGCAGAAATTAGTAATGTAAAATGATTAAATATGAAGTAATTTTAAATGGCTTTTAAATGGGAAATGGCTCTTATGTAAATTCAGTGAGAATAAAAATAGCTGTAATTCTGCCTCCACAAAAAGTGGGGTCTTTTTTGAAATAGAGGTGAAAAGGAAGGAAGAAGAGTAATTTTAGAGACTCCCTTAGACCTAAATGGCCAGAGTTTCTTCAGACCTTCCATTAATTAATTTCTAAGGCACAACATGGCTTCCCACTGGCAGAGGGCAAGGTTAGGCGGAATATTGGGAAGGAATTCTTGGCTGGGAGGGTGGTGAGGCCCTGGTACAGGTTGTCCAGAGAAGCTGTGGCTGCCCCTGGATCCCTGGAAGTGTCCAAGCTGGACGGGGCTTGGAGCAGCCTGGTCTAGTGGAAGGTGTCCCTGCCCATGGCAGGGAGTGGGACTGGATGATCTTTGAGGTCCTTTCATCCCCAACCATCCAGTATGAACATTATTTTAATACCAAAACATGTTGTGTGATGGGTTGCAGTCAATAAGCTGCTGTAAGGTTATCTTGACACTCCAGTTTTATTCTACATTTGTGTCTTGCCCTTGCCATTAAACAGTGTAGTTTTAGGATCTTTTGTCTAGTACTTGGATGAGATTCAGCTTCTGATTTATTGGGGGGTTTTTGTCTTCTGAGTAAAAGGAAATTTAGAAAAGGCATCAACAGAAAACTGTGCAGACTGTGTATGGACTGGATGTTGTGCTGAGCAGTGAGATGGCTCAGTGCTTGACCTCAGCTTCAGCTTGAAAAGGACACACTAAAACCCCCATGGAGGAGCCTCAGACGTACCATTGAGCCAGCGGCAATTTTTGAGCCCAGAAAAAGTGGGTTTGGTCCAAGAGAGACATGATTGTCCACAGCTGTCCCATGGCTGTTGCTTTCACAGATCCTCATATTTGTGTGTTATAAACACGGCGTATTTCATCAAAATCTTGATGACATGAAGTTGTCAAATTCTTTCCCACCAGCAGGACGTCACAAGAGTCTAAATTTAGCTGTGTCTCCGAAGGGGAAGTGGTGTGAATAGCACAGTAAGTCAGCTGGGTGGTGGAGCAACGCTCAACTCAACGTGTCAGTGGACACGTCTGCTGGAATTTGGTTCCACTTTCGACCAGCACAGCCCCTCTGATCCCTCCCTGTGCCCTATTACGGCAGTCCCAGCTCGCTGGCATCACACCGCGGTCGGAAATCTCTCAGCCCAGTTTCCAACATCCTCTTTGAGGCTGGGCCTCCCTTCGTGTTCAAACCCCGCGCCCTTTCCCGCTGGGATCGCTTCTGTTTTTACAAGGAACAAAAAATGGGGAAGCACATCATGTGTGTGTCAGGCTCTTTGCTCACAGAGAGCATGAAGGAGGAGTATGTAAGAGTCTGTCCTCCCCCAGCAGCTGGAGTGGGACAGCTCTGGGCTCGGGGAAATCACCTCAGACCCCGCTGGGCTTGGTAAGTTGGGCTTTTTGTGCCTTGCTTTTTCCCTTATGCTTTGGCCCAGAGGGCAGGAGCCACTTATTTCATTTGAAACAGAGCAGTTTTGTTAAAATTACCCTATTTCAGCTCTACATGAGCATTTTCAAAGCAATAAACCAAAATTTATTAGCAGGGAAGGAGCTGGGTACCTCGAGGTCTTACAGACCAGGGTAAGGACCTGGTTACACATCCTATGAGGAACACAGCATTCCAAATTCCAGTGACCTTCAGCAAGATTTAAATTGCCAAGTATTCTCCTCTTTTTGGAAAGTGGTTTCCTAAGTGCCTGAAGTGCTTCAGAATGTGTTGTCCAGCTTTTTGCATATGTAAATGATACAGTAGATAACCAGTGATGCTGATGTAGCCAAGTGTGCTGCCTTTGCTGTCTGCTTTGGCCTCAAAATTCCAGGGTTCCCTTCAGCTCCAGGGAGGGACTCGTGCCAGTCTAGCTAAAACAACCCCCCCAAAAGAAAAAAACACCATTTTAAACCATGAGCACACTATGGGGGTGTGAATGTACTTGAATTATGCAGAGATTCAAAAGATATTTGAAGGATAGAATGATTTTCTTGTGTTCATCTTTCCCATCCCTCCACAAGGGGAGTGGTGATGATCTTCTCCTTGGTGAGTTCAGATCTGACTTTAAAAGTGAAGGTTCCCATTGATTTTTAACAGTAAGTGAATTGAAAAGGAATGATGAGGAATCATTAAATGTAGATTATTTTGAGACACTTTTCACTACTTATCACTTCACTGTCGGGGAAGACAAATTAACTGTGTCTTTTAAATTCATCACTAAGAGGGACTCTACACACCTCTGTCCAGCAGCTCTGTGAGCTGCATTTTGGGTGCATTTTTATTATACTTGCAGACCTCTCAGCATCTTTTGAAGCTCCTTGGTACATCACAGGAGGGCTCAAGTCAGAAACAACCTCCAAATCTGAATTTGCTCTTTATATCCTTCCTGTGTCACTTCTTTAGCTCTTAGAAATTGTTGTCTTTCAATGGAAAACATTGATTTGCAACTGATGATGGTGACACAGAGAAGTAAGATGAATTTGCTGATTTTTGCAGCTTGTAAGTACTAAGTGTCTCAAGTAGCCATGATGCAGGAGAGACCTGGAAACAGAATGGATGTTACAGATGAAAAGCCCTTTAATGCCTTCCCTTTATCTTCAGAATGATTTTTGTGGGCATGGTAAAGAAGTGAAAAGAGGAAAAGCATGTTTGCTAAAAATAAATACTCTCGAGAAAAAATAAAGAGAAAAATCACAATATTTATTAAATATGTTGTTATTATTATTGTTATTCTCTGCCTGTCTTTCAGTCCCAGGGCTCCATGGAACTCTGGTGATCAGGCTGTTACTCCCACTTGTCCTCATGTTGGCAGAAGGCATCTTAATGAGGCTCATCTATAAAGAAAGCTGTCATCAAGATAAGCCTCAGAAATCCCCTGCATCCCAAAAGGCTAAAGAGGGAATCTGGAGACAGAAACTTGTAGACATCCCAAAAATCAAAGGCTTTGCTGATGGATGTGAGAAGCGGGATGAGATCTCTGCTCGAAGCAGCAAAACAGACCCCGGGAGCAGCCCTGGCTGGGGATCCAGAGAAAGGGAACCTGCAAAAGATCAGGAAATGCAGGTTAAAGGACCTGTATCCCCAGCTTTGCACATCCCCAGGAGAGGCCAAAGCCTATACCAGCTGGATTTGTACAGATCCTGGCCATGCAATAGCATTTACCAGAACTACCCCGACCTGCAGATCGGGGGGGACCATGTGGGGGAACACACGTGTGACTCGGGCTGTGTCCTGGACCACGTGTGTGATGAACTTCCTGATGGCCCTGTCCTGCTGTCCATAGATATTCCCCTGGGCCAGTCCCCTCCCTGTGAGCATCCCAAAAAGCCCAGTGTGACATCCCTGTCTGGGCATGAAGCTGAAGCTGCAGAGGGGAGCATCGTGCTCTCTGAGGAGCCTCTTTCCAACTCCACGCTCAACAAGTACATGGAAACCAAGGTGGCAGAGCTCTACAAGCAGTTTTTTGAAGAAAGCCTGGCCAGGTGTGGCTCTGTAACAAACCTCCTGACTTGCAGCTGGCTGAGGAACAGCCTGGAGCAGATAAGCTTCCAGATCTCCCAGGAGCAGAACATAGAAGCCTCCAAGGCCAGAGGAGCCCTCCTGCACTCGCTGGCTTTGTTGAGTGGGCGAAACGCTCCCAACAGGAACAGCTCAGAGTTCAGCACCCCAAACCTGCAGATCTCCAACCCAGCGGGGGTGAAACGGAGCTGCAGGGTGCAGTTCCCATCCTGACTGAGCTGGGCTGAAGGGATGGATGGCATTAGGGTCCGAATATTTCACTCCAGGGATGAGCTTGGGAAGTGGGAACATTTACACACTACACTTTTTCAAATCAGTGTTTTAAGGCTTAAACCGTAGGGGAAGTAAAAGGCACTGGTTTCTTTTTTCTAATACAGAATTTGAAATTAATTTCTCTCTAAAATACTAGTTAGTCATGTTTTTATAGTGTCTATAGAATCATAAATTCATCAAGGTTGGAAACAACCACTAAGATCAAGTCCAACCATCAACCCAGCACCTCCACCATGGTCACCATGTCCTCAAGTGCCTCATCAACATATAAAACTGTTTAATTTTTGGCAAAATCAGCAAGCAAAAATGACTGCAGCATTCCTGAAAAAGTAGTGCAAGGTTCCTGCATCTTTGGAAATTTAAATGCAGATTTTGATATGGAAATCCTGTTACTTTCAAATCCATTTTCTTCCCTTTCTCTTACTTCTCAGTAAGTATGGAAATGAATCATTGTGTCACCATTGTAAAATGAGAAATGAAATAGACTGTTACCTGCCCTGCAGAAGTTTTTTTCTAGTAAAGAACGTTTTTTCTTGTTGTGTTTTGGTTTCTTTTGCCTGTGGTTTTGTTTGTTTGTTTTAATCCAGCATCTTTATTTGTTGGGAGTTTCTTAAAATCATCTCTGAGCTGAAAGAAAATACCAATAGGCTTGAAAGAACATTGAGAAGATCTGAATTCACAAGGGATTCACCTTGAAGCTCCTAATTCAAATTATATAACTTATTAATTACTGGCATTTACTGTAATAGAAGCTGTGTGATGGGGCTTAGAGTTAAAATTGGGCCTGTTTTGGTCTGTACAGGGATGGGAATTTGCAGAATAAAGGAATATGGACCCTTAATAATTAATTTCCCTCAGCTGCCTTCTCAAATCTCATTCCTGCTCTTGCTCTCATCTTGAAACCCCAACTTCCAATTTTTCATGTTATTTTTTAAACAGCCTTCACCCTGAGGCAGACTTTGCCATGTTATCACTGTGGTAGGATGGGCATTTTCAGATGGAGGAAAGAAAAGAGGGATGGCTGGAGTTTGGGTGGCAGGATTGAGAAGAAGCTGCTCCTGAGGGAAAAGTAAGAACTTCTCTCTCGTGAGTAAAATGACAGGCAAAGACAATTCCCACTGAGAAAATAATTCCATAAAATCAGACTCATACACATCCAAGACCTAACTGATCATTGCCTGATCAACAATTCCCATTTTCTACTAACTCTAATACTATATCTAGTCCTTGTTTTCCAAGAGGATGACAAGGAAAAGGATGACTTGCTTCACTATGGCTTGCCCTAATTCCACATGTGCCTCATGAATGCCCTTCTCAGCATTCCAAATCAAGTCAGGAGTCCTTAGAAAGAGGCCAGATGACTTCATTAAACTCCAGAGCAGTCCAGGGTGGGCAGAACTCCTAAGTTTTCCTTGGGAGAGAGAATAAATTAACTGAGGGTGAGAACATTCCGAAGGGCACCAGTAACCCAAGGGTTTGCAGCTCACTGGAGAAAAAAGTGCTCCCTGGCATTTGAGCTGCCTTTGGTTCCCCCTGGGATCTGTTTATAGTTCAAACCAAAGTCTGGAAAGACATTAATTGCACAAGGTTCTTCCTCAGGAAATGAGAAAGTTGGAGGTTAATCCTGAGGCCCACCCAGGCCGTGGTTGTTTTCTGTCCTTCCCAGGGCTGAGAAATGTGTTGGAGAAGCCCCACTTTGCTCTGCTGGTTCCCTCAGAGCCAGCCCTTGGTGTTCAAGTCAACAGATCATCATCAGCTGTTTCACTGGGAGAATCCCTGATGGATCTGCTGCTCCATTGCTGTGGCAGAGATGGAGCAGCAGAGAAGAACATGGACATCAAAAATGAGTGTTTGGCACAACCTGAGGTTACTGGGAAGCTCTGTCCATCCCATCCCTTCTCAGGGTCGGGTTCAGAGCTTGTTTTTTTAATTAGTTTTGTCAAATATGTGGACAATTTTAGCTGGAATGAAAAGAAAACAACACAACAGCAGCGTTTTGAGGAAAATTAAGTAATTTATGTGGCTGCTCAGCACAATGATCCGTGTTTTCACAGCGCAGTGAAAGTGTAGATAAATGCACTTGGTTAATGTAAAGCACCACAGACTGTATTTTTGTACTGATTTTATGTAGTTTTGTCCATGGGAAAATATCATCCATGTGCTCTTTCCACCCAACATTTGTGACTCTGGTTTAATCCAAAATTTAACTTCTCCAAATTAACTTCTCCTCACAGAAAGAAAGATATCTGAGATGTCACTGCAGAGTACATTTTAGGAGCAAAATCTGGTCATTTCAGGAAAGATGAGACTAATTCATTTATTACTCACTCAAATACTATTTTTATTTACATTTTATTTTAATTGACATGTTGCAATCCATTATATGCCTTGGATTTATTTATATTTGAAAGATGCTGAGCCCCATTCTGAGTTTAGCTCTGGTAAAACTCCATCAGCTGCACCAGAGCTGTGCCTGTTTTCACTAGCAGGAAAAATGCCTCAGTGAACTAAAACTCCTTAGAGAAAATCCCTGAAAAGGTGCTTTTCCAGCCCTCTGAAGGGCAGCAGCTGGATTTCATTCCAAAGGAAAGCAGGGCCATATTTTACAGGCCAGATTCTGCCTGGTGCTGATTTTTATCCATGTGCCAGAAAATCTGATATTGAAAGGGAAATGCTGGCAGGGAATTTTTACCTTTATATCCAGTTGTCATTCTGTGTTCCCACAGAGGAATATTCACCAGGTGCTGGGACACAGACCTTGGAATAAACTGGACTCTTGAGTTAAATCTCCCCAGTTAACTGAGTCCTGTAGTCAGGATATTGTTCCCAGCCTGCTCCAGGTTGTGGGATTTAAGCCCCTATAGGAGGTGACTTCATCTGCCTGGAGCATAATTGGGATTTTTACACTCCAGATCAAGATTAACAATTTTTCTGAGATTTATTGAATAGTCAAATGGTGATATCTAGTGGTGGTTTCCTTTAGTACCTTTCAGGTCAGGATTTCCAGAGCTTTACAACCATTTTGCAACTGAATCTCAAAATCCACCTTTTTTTTTTGAAGGAAGGATTAATTCCCACAAAAAGGATGCCAGGTTTGCAGAACAACAGTTTCCATCAGCTGATGTTCTTCTATTCTGCAGGTTAAAATCTAGAAGGACTCAAAACCTGGAAGACCAAACCCTTCCCTTTGGGACTATAAAAAATGGAATATCAGATAATCAGAAAAATCTCAAACACTAAATACCTGCATTTTTCATTCATTTCTCTTTTAAATAGGAAAATGCCATTTGCTTGTCAACTTGGCATGAAACTAAGTGTGAGTGGCTTATTTTTTCACCCAAAATTTAAAATACTGAGCTGCTTTTAATGGGCTGAAATCTACTTTTTAGCAGTGTTCCTTCTCTCTCTCCTCAAGTTTATACATGACATTGCAATACTGATTTTTTCCTCTCTGTTTTGCTCCTGCTTTACATAAAGGTTTCCAAAATTCAGCTGTTTGATTGTAATTAACCTAATTTTCTTCCTCTTTAGGAGAAGACCCTCACAATTTAATCCCTTCCTGCTTTTCCTTTGCCTTAATTTATTTGTGGTAACTCTGTCAATCTGCTGGGAATATAAATCACTTGTGAGGGGCAGTGGTTGCTTGGTAAATGAGTGCCCAGGTGGCAACAAACCCTCCCACTCCCACATGTGACATCCTGGCTGCCTCCTATGAATCCTAAGAGGGCCAAACCCCTTCCTTCTTCCCTCCTGTTCCACATAGGGGTTGTGGATATTCCCTTTCACTTGAGGGAAGGCAAAAAGTCTGGAGGAATATTTGATGCTGTGGAGCAAACTGGAGCAAATTTGTCTCTGGAGCTGAATTACTGGAGCTTGCACAGAATGTGTTAGGAATCCTGTGTAAGTATGTCCATCAGGGCTTTATTTTCCTTGGGATGCTTGTTGGGGGCTCTCTTTAGGGAAAACATTTGTAGCTGTTGTTGCAATATTTAAATTGCAATTCCTTGGAAACAATCTGGCATCTCACCAACTTTTCCTGGGGCTTTTTTTGGCTGATGTTTAAGTGCTCAGAGAAGGTGAGCAAAGGGTTGAGGAGCTTCCCTTGGGGAAGGGTGACTGCAGGGGGCCTGAGGAACTGGGACTTTAAAACCAGCCCCAGAAGACTGAGACTTGCAGGGGGTTCCCGTGTCTCACCACTGCTGCTCCTCCCCCAGGGGAAGTGCTAACAGCATTTTTCCTAAACACAGCCCTAGTTGTGTGACATGGAAATGTGGGCTCTGGACTCTGTGGAACTCTCAGTGGGAATGTTAACTCTGGGATGGATGCAGGCTCAAAGATCTGGAGGGATTCACCTGGAGAAGAGAAGGCTCCAGGGACACCTGAGAGCCCCTTCCAGGGCCTAAAGGGGCTCCAGGAGAGCTGGAGAGGGACTTTAGGACAGGACAAAGGGGAATGGCTTCCCACTGCCAGAGGGCAGGGTTAGATGGGATACAGGGAAGGAATTCTTGGCTGTGAGGGTGGTGAGACCCCAGCACAGATTGCCCAGAGAAGCTGTGGCTGCCCCATCCCTGGAAGTGTTTCCCTGCCTCTCATCCCTGTGTTGGAGCACCAAGGCTTTGCTTGCCTGGGCTCTGACTGACTATTTAGGGATCCTTGATCTTCCTCAAAAAATTTCTAATTTTGTGCAATAATTCAGTTTCTTAATCTGCTGTGTTGCTATTTTTTGTTCTCATTCCCATCTGTGATCACACACTTCTGCTTTCCAGTGCCAAATTTGTGAGGCACACGAACCATTTATTCACTTGCTCTGCCTGTTGCTCAACTGTGTAAAGTTGGTGTTTCAATAATTAATGACTAATTTGAGAGGTAACAAAAGTTAACAAAGAAGAGCGAGAGAGAATCCAGACTCTCATTTTTGCTTTGTGTACATAAACTGTATTAGTGCTTTGTTTCAAATGAATGAATCTGTGAATGTAACGGAACAGGGAACAGGTCTGCAAAGCAATTTCCTGAAAATCTCAGCTTGATATTTTAAATTAACAAATTTTGTTCCTCTTTTCTGTTAGTTGAATCATAAAAAAAAACCCCAAACTTTCTTGGAATAGAAAGTGAAAACGTTCCTGTTGCATATGCAACGTTGGTGCAAACTGGGCTGTAAAATATTCCGTGTGGACACTTGTGCTGGTGGTGCTTGGAATGGAAACGGGCAGAGCTGCCTTTCCTTTGCTGCCCAGGCACTGCTCCAGCCCAGCCATTAAACATCAGGGACAGGTCACTGCTCACAGGCAAAGCCATGGCACTGAAAGGCCTTTGGGGCAGATTTATTGAATATCCTTATATAACAAATACACCCCAGGAAATGGCCACCTGCTCATGTTTATTCCACAAGGAGAAACCAAAGCCTGCATCCAACAGGACTTCAAGGAAAGCACAGACATCCAGAGGGGCGTGTGTGGGACCAGAGTGGGTGTCCAGAGAGCAGCTCATAAGTGGAGACTGATCTCCACACTGAGCTGAAATCC